CACACTCAGGACAGTTCGCGGCAGGGCTATGCTGTTTTTCCTGGCTAGCAATTAGGAACATTTGTTATGTTCTGTAAGTGTGCCATGTGAAATGAAAGATTTTGCCCGTTAATCAAACATAAAAAAATATTTCTGCTTTTCTCTAACCATTCCATTAAATAGTATAGAGCAAATTTGATTTTCTTTTTATGCGCTACAACCACTCTTCTCTGATGTTTACAGATGTCATTTATAAATATACATTCTCTGTAAAGATTAAATGAAAAATCCTATCCCCTTGAAATACATGCTAAACCCAATACAGATCAGAAATCTCACTCTCAAGACACCTGTAGCCAACCCAGGAAGAGACCCCAGTTCTGATCTTGCCTCCACTACCCACTGGCTTCGTTGCTTTTCCTGGCTCTCACTTCACTTGACCAGAAGAAACAGAGACTGGGAGGGATGGTCTTTAGAATCCCTCTCATTCTACAATGCCAGGACATGTTTGGGCAGCTGCTGGCAAACAAACAGGAACACCGTCAGTGTTTCTAATGTGAAACACAACTTCTACAGAAATTATTAGTTGTCTTGCATGAGACTAATGTGTATCATTCATTGATCGGAAATACTTTTAGATACGGCACTTCCCAACGACCAAGGCGAAATCATTCGATAGAGTAAGCATGCAAGGATACACCGAGAGTCAGTGAATGCACGGTCTTCCAGATGTCATTCATGTCTTGCAGGATTCGTTTGCTTTCCAATTACAGTGTCTCTTAATGATAACAGGGCTCATTTAAGACATCTTTTTGCACACAGCTGATCAAAAGTGTCACTTACTAATAAAATAGCCCCCATAGCGTTAGTCCTTTATAATTATGCTTTTACTGTGGGTGCTGAAGGACCAGCAGGGCAACGACCACACACCATCACTGCTTCAGACCATGCCAACAATCAAGCAGACGGTGCTATTTGGGAGTGGCCATGGAAGTCACTAAGAAAAACTATTTATTTTCTGGTATACACGATCGCCTCAAAACCTTTGCCACAACAAGATGCCAGCTTCCATCTGCAAACCACAGCTCCTGCCTATCCTATGCTCTTCAGGGGGAGGGGCAGCGTAACAGACAGGCCCACAAGAGCAGTGAGGTCCCCTCCGGCTGGGCCAGTTCAGAGCTGAGTGTGGGCCGAGTTCATGCCTGGCAGCTCCAGGCTCAGTTCCCACACCCAAGTGTCTGCCACATGGGGACGAGCAGCCCACGCAGCCCACCTCACACACAGGCATGTGCTTTGCACAAGCAGCTTGGACGGTCCAGTGTCACCGCCATGCACAAGCACATGACTTCTAGGAACTGGCACACTTTTAACCATCATGCATCTTGGATTCTCATTTTTACCACTTAGGAGTGTGCAGAGAATGGAGGCTCCTTGTGGAACTGGAGGCAAACACACCTGGGCAGAAGGCTGCCCTTGGAAAATGGTTTCAAATGTCCTGTTTTCTCTACTGAATGGTGTTGACTATAAAAGTGTATAGTTTCTGTGAGAAATTTAGAAAACAATGAAAAGAGGGCGCCTGGGTGGCTCAGTTGGTTAAGCGACTGCCTTCGGCTCAGGTCATGATCCTGGAGTCCTGGGATCGAGTCCCACATTGGGCTCCCTGCTCAGCAGGGAGTCTGCTTCTCCCTCTGACCCTCCCCCCTCTCATGTTCTCTCTATCTCATTCTCTCTCGCAAATAAATAAATAAAATTAAAAAAAAAAAAAAGGAAAACAATGAAAAGAAATCTGAATTCCCAGCTTGCAGAGATAACTACTGTTAATATTCGGATACACTTCCACCTTTTTTTTCTTTTTTGGGGGGGAGGGGGTAGAGGGACAGGGAGACAGAGAATCCCAAGAAGGCTCCACCATAGAGCCCAAAGGGAGGGGTCGATCCCACGACCCTGCGGTCATGACCTGAGCCCAAAGAAAGAGGTGATGCTTAACCGACTGAGCCACCCAGGCACCCCTCCATCTCTTTTCTATGCACGTTTTAGCATAATGAATACAAAATGATATACCAAACGTATATAAATTTATACTGTTTTTTCCACTTAATATCTATTACACCATAAACATTTTCTCATGCCATTAAATACTCTTTAAAAAGACCGTATGCACTTAAATTACAGGGTTGCAACACTTTAAGGCACTACATTATACTGGATACACATGAATCTCTATCTAAATTTGTAAGTATTTCTCTAGAACAGATTCCTAGAAGTTCAAGTACTGGGTCAAATATAGTGAATCTTTATAGAAGTTATCAGCCTTTCTAACTTGCTGGCCCAGTTGTGGGTAGGTGTCAGATCACATTTGGCTGTCATTTCCAGACAACGCTAATATATGGGATCGGAAAGCGAGTGTCAATGTCCCAGAACGGCTGTTCCTCACAGAAGTCCTTTTCCCAAATCCTTTTTCTCACGGCATCTGTCATTCTCAGCAAGTAAATCAAAAGGGCATGGTGACCATCTGGGAACAACCCTCCCAAACAGCTGTGGATGCTACAAAGTCGTTTCTTTGAGTCTATATACAAAAGAATAACCCTGGCAGGATCCCATTTCCTTAGCAAGGAGAAAATAATTCAGAAAGGCAGACATCCAGGTTTTGGTCAATGGTGTCACACTGCTCTCCTTTGTAATCAGTGATGGTACCTTTTCCACAGTTACCGTGGGAAGCAAGGGGGCTGGGAAGCAGACCTTTGATCTGTGGCTCTGGCAGCAAGGAGCAGTCTCGTGGGTGCCCTGGGTCTCTCTGGGGCTGCAGCCACACCCCGCTGCCTGACCATGTCTCCAGGACATTCTTAAAATAAGTATTTCACCTTCCCTCTGCCTCATTCTAGCTCAGCAGGAAGTAATAGAAGAGGTATGGGTCTTGGCCGTCCGGAGGCTCAGCCCAGTGGGGCTGTGTGTGTCTAGGAAAGCCCAGGGCCTTCGCCTTCCCCGAGCAGAGGGCTCCATTCTGCTGCTGCTTTCCAGGTGCTCATGTGGGTCTAGCAGGCAGCCAGGCTCCTGAGAGGATGCTTCGCTGCTCTCTCGTGACTCACCCGACACCTTGCAGCCCTGGGAACTGACTGCGCTGTGGGGGAGCTGCCGGAAGCTAGCTGCTGGGGACTTTAGCCACCATCAATGCACTCCTGCCAGAGCTAAGGGATGCAGGCAAATGGCTCCTGAGCCACTGCAGATCACCTTACACACGGCTGTCCACAGGCAGGGACATCTGGATTACTGTCCCAGAGACTAAACGACCACCTGAGCTGGAAGCGCGGCCCAGAGGTTTAGGACATGCCTCAGTGGCCAGGTCTCTTACACAATGCACCAGCCAGGCGGAGATCCTGGGGAAAGCACGTCCTTTCACCAGGGTAGACCTGCTGGATTGGGGGGCTCTGGGAGTTCTAGGTTCTCAGGGGAGGCAGCTTGTGGATGAAGTGGGGCAGTCATGGCACCTTATAGCTCAGACATGGCCAAGTCCCCCAGAGTTCTACAGGTCATCAGGTGCACACCAGGTGAGACGCCGCCCTGAGGGAAAGGAGGACCCCATATGAACACAGCAGACGCACCTTCTGGAAGGAATGTCTCTTTCTCCTTCACTGAGAGGCAGTAAAGGGCACACGGTGATAACACAATGCCATGGAGACACACAGGCAAGGCCCCGTCTTGGCTCAGTAAACCACTCAGAGGACAACTTTAAGGATTCTGCCACAGCGACGGTGTCCAGGTACATTTCTCACAATTACTGACTTGCGTTTCACACCTGTGACAGCCACAACGGTGACAACGGCCAAGTTCCCCAGGCACGTCGCGTGTACTGCCCGTGAGGTCAGCACTGACAGCACCCCACTTTAGAGATAAACAAATGGGGGGCTTGCAGAGGGTGCACGAAGGTCACAGATAGAGCGACTGAGACGTGCTGCTGCGGCTTCTAAGCTCATTCTAAATCACTGCCCCGGGGCGCCTGGGTGGCTCAGTCGTTGAGCGTCTACCTTCGGCTCAGGTCACGGTCCCAGGGTCCTGGGATCGAGCCCCGCATCGGGCTCCCTGCTCGGCGGGAAGCCTGCTTCTCCCTCTCCCCCTCACCCTGCTTGTGTTCCCTCTCTCGCTGTGTCTCTGTCAAATGAGTAATTAAAATCTTTAAAAATAAATAAACCACTGCCCCATCTGGTCTCCTGTCTTTAAAACCACAAGGCACAGGCAGAGAAAAGCAGGAGGTGGGCTGAGGAAGCCCACTGTCCGAAGTAGCTACAGGTGGACAGCTGAGTCCGTAGCAGCCTGGCCCCCTGGCGGGGACACCACGCACATCTCTGAGAAGGTGGGACAAAGGCCAGGGGGTCAAATGCTGCACAATCTTTGTGCAGTAAGAACGAATTAATACATTTTGTATGTATTTCATAACCTTCATCTGAGAGGTCTACAGTGTTTAGAAGGAACTGTGAATCCATATATTCCAACAAAATACACAAGAGGCAAAATCTGGGATCCTAATATCTACACGATAATAAGTCTATGGGTAGAAAATCACAGAAGGATATGCCAATGTGTATCAAGGAGTCCATGTGAAATAATACCATACCCTAGCATTGAACTTCCCCCACCCCTCCCCAAATCTTCAGTGGAATTCAGGGATGGTTTTCCCAATGTCGATGAAAATTCACTCTGGTTGCATAAGTAGCGAGGCCAGAACAAAAGCCCCAGGGGCTGGAGAAAGTCGCTGCTTTCAAATGATTCATGCAAAGGGAGGCCCAGGTGTGGAAGAACAAAAAACACAGGACCCCAAGATAAGAAATGGCACTTTCAGAGTTTGTGATTCTGGCCCAGGCCTCACTAGCGATGAGATGTTCCAGGAAGAGGGCGAGACGGTTGGGATGTCAACGAACAGTGCTGGCCCTGACGGGCTGCACACAGTGTGGCCAGCCGTGTCGCTGGCACCTCTGGTTGGTGTGGTTTCCTTTCACATAGAGGGAGTCTCTTCACCTAACATGACCAATAACATCATCTGTTGCTATTCTTGTATTTTTGTTAAAATCAGTGGGAGGTAACTGGCTATTCCCCAAAGCAAAACACCTCTCTCCCTCTTCCTGGAGAGACCACCCGGAATCTTCCTAAGGTGGGCTGCAGTCGGCCCTCGTCTATGAAGTGCTGGCCTCTGGGGGACCTGCAGCCTCACCGTGACTAGCCCCTTGTGCAGCCTCCCCAGGCCCATCCCCTCAGCTGTGAGCAAATGCCACCTCGCTCCTGTGACCCACGTAGCAGCATTCACTTAAGGAGAAGCTGTGGACCCGACTTCCAAGGTAAACCCAAGTGCTTACGAAAGACACCAAGGGATATCTGAATATTCAAAAAGGATGCCAATGCCTTCCCCATGGCACTGGGCCTGCACCCGGAGAGACCCATCCGCTCGCTTCTGGGTCATGCGTGCTCCTCCTCTCCGTTTTTATTGGGGCTAACCTAGGAGGAGCACAGGCCCCAGGGGGTCCAAACCGCCTTGCTGTGGTGTTTGTGGGAAAGGCCCACTGTGCCGCAGTGTTCCATCTTGGTGTCAACCTTGGAGTTGGATGTTATTGGTTTTCCATGCCCAAGGGAAGGCTGCTATCCAACTCTGATGATTCAGGTTTAAGGAACGGAAGACATGGAACAACAGCTTCAATCCAAACGAAGCACAACTCTCCCTGTTTCCTCAGTAACTCTGGCTGCTTGCCAGCGGGCGGGATCATAACCTATAGGCTGGCCTCTGGGATCGAACTCCTTCTGCAGACTAATGTAACGTGTACTGCTGACTGTTTTGCAGATAGGGGTCACAAAGGCATCAGCTAATGAAGGCTGTGGGTACTGCTTGGAGACCCAGGTCACAGCAAGACAAGTTGGACTTAGAACAGAAAAGCTGATGAGACAGTACGTTGTCGTGGCCAGGATGGTGGGACACAGCTCTCAGAGATGAAACCCGCTGGCAAACAGGGTGTCAAGGCATTGGCCCTCTGAGTGGACTGTTCCTTCTGCCATCTAGAACTGGTGTCTTGCAGCAGAAGATCTTGAACCTGGCTGCTTATCAGAATCCCACAGGTTTGCAAAGGAGATTCTTGGGCCTGTGCCTGGAGACTGTGATGCAGGAGGTGAATTTTTAAAAGCTTATGGATGATTCTAATGCACAGACATGCTGGGCCTAGGGATAGCTGCCATGCCAAAGAATACCACACAAGAGGAGATGCCTCTGAGCTATAGGCCATTGCTGGCCACAGGACCCACCTTGGACCACAAGATTCCCGTTGGTTTTGGGCGCTCGCACCCCGTAGCAATGACTCTCGTCGGAGTGAGAATGTAGTCCACTGTTAGGTCGTGGTCCTCAAGCAGCGCTTCAGGTATGTCGATGACCTGGTCAAACAGAAGTGGGTGAGGGGGCTGACAGGGAATGCGGCTCTTGTGCTCAAAGCACCGTGCAGTAGAAGCAAAGGGCTCACCAGACCCATGGGGATAAGGCCTCACTGCCACACAGATCCAGCTCTGGCTGATCACCACTCACAGCAGACGTGGAATGAAGGCAGAGACCAGTTTGTCTCCTTCCCTCCCCACCCACTCGCTCAGGGGGGTGTGGCAATAGCCTCTGCTTGGCCCGTTCATGGGCAGCACCTGGCAGTCATGGACGATGGTGACCACGGGCGTCCCCTGGCTGACTGCTCCCATCGACACCATCATGGCATATTCCAGATCAGCGTAACCTTCTCCCTTCCCAATTCTCCAGCCTAAGAGACATGCAGAGCGTCAGTATCTCAGGAGGAAATGTTTCATTGGGTCACAGCAGAAGCAGAAACTTGGACTCAATATCCCTGGCACTTCCTTAGAAACTTCCACAGTGAGCCCACAGGCAGCCCTCAACAGTGGGGTTCGGGGCATGCCGACGCTGCATACATACAGGGGTCAGCACATGCTGATGTGAAGCTTGAGTCTCTTAGATGTGTTACAAAAAGAAATGGAACCTGTGTTTATGTGAGCAGAACCCACATTTAAAAGCAATGAAAAGAGTAGTTTTTTTTTTTTGTTTTTTGTTTTTAAAGATTTTATTTATTTATTTGAGAGAGAGAGAATGAGAGAGAGAGAGCACATGAGAGGGGGGAGGGTCAGAGGGAGAAGCAGGCTCCCC